TGTCCTTTCTTCACTAACAGTCCACCTGTAATTACCAATGAACTCCAGTTAGGTTTAAAGTACTCTTAAGTTTCATCCTACTAGAACCCCCCTCTGACACTGCCAAATCATCGCCTCCAACTGAAAATGCTCTTCTCTTGACTTCTGTGCTAACATTTCCTGCTGGCTCATTTCCTACCACGTTTCAGTGTCTTTCCCTGTATCTTCCTCAATTTAAGTGACAATCTTCAAATGACAATTTTTGACCCTGTCTTCCCCTATCTTTGCATTCTACTTTCTTTCTGGATGATGTCATTCTCTCCTATAGCTTTAACTATACTCACTTGTTGATGACTCTTGAGACTTCGCTCCAATTCAAAATATCTAACTACATACAGGACACATCCCCTGATGCTCAATTAGGATACAAATTCAGTATGTGAAGTGGAAATCTTCTGAAGTTCATGCTACAAAACAACAATAGAAGTTTCAAAAACATCCAGCTCCTGTTTTATCAGCCTCCCTCACCATTCCTTCAACTGCTGTATTTCCTCCAAGTTGGGTCAATTTCACCATTGTCATATCTATTTCCTCCTCTCTATTCTCACTGCAAACACCTAGGAGATAAACCCAATAGAGAAATGGATAAATACTCCACTGAGGCAAGTAACAGGATTAGAGACTCTTAAGTCCACTGTCCTTACTTTGGACAGCAAACCATAATATCCAGAGAATTCTAGTGAACCTTTCCTGAGATTGTTTTGAGCTATTTGGCTCAGTAAAACCACTTTTGTTATGTGATAGTAAGAAATTATCACATTAATTTATAGGCATTCGCTAATTCCAATGGTATATTTGTACGCTAGATATGTAACTAATACAGTTCATAGTAGTAACACTTGGCTAATACAGACCACCTTTCAAAAAAAAATCCATGTATAGCAAGTAACATCCTTTTTTAAGAAAATCTGAAGTATGTGAGATTTATTATACTTGAAGTGTCCAAAGAGATCATATAATTCAAACCTCTGACCTTACAGATTTAAGAACTATTACCTAGGCAGGTCAAGTGACTTGTAGAAAATCAAATAGCTAGTCACAGAGATACTAACAATCAGTTACAAAAAAACAGTGCCTCATTTGAGTAAATACAATTTACCATTAAAATGAACATTAAAAAATTATGGTATTTATAACAAAGCTAAAGAAACTTTGTTCCTTCTTTAAATATACACATACAGACATATTCTACTTTTTCTATAAAGTGAATTTTTAAAAATCTGAGGAAAAAAGCTAGTCTAAATATAGATTAAGAGGCTACAACATATCTAATACTATACAACCTGACAATTTATATGGGGAGGGGGGAACCTAACTTTTGTTTGACTACAAACAACTAATGCATTAATATTTCACTCCATTTAAAAGTCTTAGTGAACTGTCAGCTAAAACTTATTTTTTTCTAAACTCCAGTGAAGAAAAAATTGCATTATTTTGATTATGTAGCCCCTTTTAAAGCCAATCATCCCTCTTGATTTTATGTCAAGATTATTAAAAGATTCCCATGGAAACACAAGAAGAGAAGATCTCCAAAAGAGAAGTTCTAAATTAATGTCTGTTATTTAAAGAAGGACATGAAACAGACTAACAACAAATACATGATTCAACTTATTCCTGGAGTTGTTTTTTCCTGATAAAGACAACATAAAGACTATCTGACATGACCACACATTCTATCAAGTGTACAAACTTAGCCCAAGAATTTAAGAATGGGGAAGCAGCTAACTCGGTTCTAAATGCCCGACTCTCTTCATTACATGCCCTTAGGGATGAGGAATAGTTTGTCTACAGCACTGCTTCTCAAAGTGTGGTCCCCAGATCACATCTCCTGGAATGCTGTCATCAGAAATGTAAATTCTCAGGCCCCATCTCAGCCGTACTAAATCAGACATGCCAGGAGTAGGACTCAGCATTTTGTGTTCTGATAAGTTTTCCAGGGTACTCTGATGCAGGCCACATCACCAATAACAGCTGTTAGCACTGAAGCACTTACTATATAATAAGCACTTTGTAATCCTCATTTAATTCTCACAACAACCCTCCAAGGAGATACTGTTTCTTTTTTTTCCATCAAGTTTTTAATTTTAATTCCAGTATAATTAACATACAGTATTATATTAGTTTTAGGAGATACTGTTATTCTCATTTTATATATTAAAAAAAATAACTTGCCTAGATTAAAAAAAAAAGACAAACAAACAAACAAACAAACAAAAAAACTAGTAAGGGCTAGAGCCCAGATTAAAAAAAAAACAGGCTATAAAACCTACATTAGTGCCATTATCATTTGACATTGCCATTATCTTATTTATCCTCTCCAACAATCCTGTAGTGTAAGTATGTAATTCCCATGTTACACATGTATGAAAAGACCTAGGTGAAGCCATTTTCCCAATATCACATAGTGACAAAAAAAAAATTATGTACAAGTTTGTCTCACTTGAAAACCCATACTTTTCAAAAGCTATGACCAACTGAGTGACTACCACTATCAATTATTCCATTTAACTTCTTGATCCCCTTAATTCCTGAGTAGTAGTCTATTCTTCAGGCAGAGTGTTAATTTAGCAGGTTAGGTTAAATCAGGGAGAATCAAACTCTACTCTCCAGATGAGTATAATCAGAGTGGCCAGCAGTCATATATTTCAAAGTAAAACAGAGATATTAATGACATATGTAAGAGAATGTCACAAAAAGGAGGGGGAGGAAATGGAAATGAAAATAAGTATATTTTTTTTAAAAATATTACTCTGCTTTGTACATCAAATTAGCAACCAGACTTCAAATGTTTTGAAAAGACAACTTAAGGTCAGTGTATTTTGGTTCTCAAATACTGATGAACTTAAGATCTTTTTTAGTCCTTCTATTTCATAGTATCTTCCATATATAAACATCTTGGATATACTCTTTTGATGAAAGTGAAGGCTTAAAGACATTCCTACCACCAAAGAGGGGCAGATATCTTACCAGCAACTTGCTCATGGCCAATTAAATAAAGACATGTTATGATCAGAGAAACAAGAACTAAGTACAATGGCCAAGTGTAATCAATTATAATTTTATTGGAGTCCTTTGCTTATTCTCTAACTGCATGTGCTGTAATATCCTCTTACAATGCTAGAATCATTCACCTGAGGACCTGGAGTTCCCAACATGTATTGGTACTAAACTTTAAATAGGTTTTTATGAAAAGTATACTCTAACTCCTGTAGCACTTAGGGAAGAGAGATTCAACGCAAGTTTCAAAATGATCATTCATGTTATTCCAGGTCAATGCAAATGTTGAGGAGGTACAATGGAGCCTTGGCACACCTTTAATCTATGAGGAAATATGTACTTTAAGCATAGTTAACAGAGCTCTCTTTTTCTGTAAAAACAAAACAAAACAAAACAAAAACAAAAAAACCCACCCAACTCTTTATACCAGTAGGGTTTATCAAAACCCAGTGGGATGCTAGGTGTGAGGTGGAAGGTGAAGAGCAAAAAAATTTCAAAAATGGCTAGTCACTAAATTCCCAGGCAACTCCGATTTACTTCCTCAAGTTTTATGTAAATCTGCTACTACTGACAATATTCCAGAGAAACATTTATAACATCTGATTTTTCCTTTTCATGTAAACTCCTGAGTATGCTTCAAAAACAACTGCTATAGACAAGAACCCAGCCCAAACCTGAACTCTACACTTAGGGCACAAATTTAAATAAAAATTTATTTTATTTTATTTATTTTTGAGGTGGGGGGAGGGACAGAGAGAGAGGGAGAGTGAATCCCAAGCAGGCTCCATGCTTTCAGCACAGAGCTGGACATAGGTCTGGCACTCACGAACTGTGATATCAAAACCTGATCTAAAATCAAGAGGTGGACATTAACTGGTTGAACCACCTAGGCATCCCTGAAAATGAATTTTAGAAAAGCCTATTAAAAAAGTTGAATCATACCATGTACATTAAAACCTCTGTAAAAGTACTGAAATAGGAGTATTTAAGGAACTTAACTCAGAGATCTAATTAATTTCCAAATGAAGGAAGATTATGATGGGCAAGTCACAGTATTAAATCAATTGTTAAAGGAAAATTGTTTGGGTCTCAGTACTAAGTATAAAGATGCCCCAGCTGTCAGATTTAATTACACTTAAAATCAAGGAAAACAGACTAAAATCAAATAAAACAGATTTTTTTTTTTAAATTTTCTATGTATTTCACATTTTGACATCTTAAAAAAAAAAAAAAACCTTTCTGGCTAGCCAATTCTTAGAGCAAGGAGGTTAGATGGGGGCATGCCTTTGATATGCAAACTAACCAACGCAGAGCTATACCTCCTTCATCTGGCCCACACACCCAGGATGCAAAATTCCTCTGCCTTAATCATCCCAGAGCCAGATACCAGGCAACAAGGGAATACCCTATAAGTTTAGAGCCTACAGAAATTATTCAACAAGCCAAATAAACTGTCTACCCTGCCCTGCCATTCCCAAGGAAACTCCAATATAGCTCTAGCCTCAGCTTTTCCCATGCTCCTGCTTTCTGCCTCCTGACCACCCTGAGGCTTCCCTATGTGCCCCTCAGATGTATGCTATGCTGCCTTTTTCTAAGCCCTGTGAGTACAATAAACTCATTTTCCTGAGCCTCTCCTGTGTCTCCTCTTGTGATTGACCATCACAGAACATAAAACATTAGGCCAATCTATGCTTTTTACACATGATTGTTTTAAAGTTATATGCACATCAAAAAATCTGAGTTATAATTATTAAACTCATTTCCTCCCCAGATTCTTGCAGACATTGGCATACAGCAAAAAACCACCTTTCTCCACTATTACAGATTAAGTGAAGGGCATATTCTATGTCCACTTTGGAAATTACCTTAAATTTGCCATTGTTTTCCCAAATGTAACCCTGGCATAAAGGATACCATCGGAAATGAGTGAGGCTCAAAAATAGGAATAGAAATTAAATACCCACCTGTGAAGGTGTACTGGTAAGTTCCATCTTTTCTTGTGATTTCTCCTTTGCTAGTCGAGCAGCTTCTTTAAATTCCTGAAACTTTTCTGCGAACTGAATGTATAAAGACTATATACATTAACCAAATAAAATAAAAACAGGTCTCACTGCCCACTTTTACCTTGGTTTTCTTTCAATTGCTGAATAACTGACTCTTAACATAAGCGACGTAGCCATCAAATCAATTATAGGTGTAATACGAAAATGAAGGAAAAAGAAATCTAATACCAAACACTTAGCTGTACACTACAAACTCCTTGGACAAACTGCAGTCAAAGACATCATGATAACTAACTTAGAACTTGAGGTCAGCTAGTTTATCTACGTCTCTTCCTCAGTGTTCAGATACACTTTACTAAGACCAAGGTGCAGAGTATAGGATGGGAGTGGAATCAGTAAAGATTAGCATACTTTGTTTATCACAGGGAAAAAAATGAATCTTTTAGGTATTTACTCATAAACATCTCGGTATTTGGAGTGTGCTTTTAAATTTTACTGGAACATAAACTCTCATATTATGTGAGGCTTTTTATTTTCAACAACATAAATGGCAACATTTACTATTATCGCTAAATGGCATTACTAAAACTTCATTTCCAAAGATTCTTAAACAGCTAATGTACAACAGCAGAGAGGAATAACATGAACTCCACAAAGATCTTTAAAATTGGTAACAACAACAACAAACTATGGTACATAAAATGCTAATTCCTACAAATCCATAGTAATCTAGAAATGTCAGAGCCACAAAGATTATCTATTACTGCTTTGGAAGTGGAAACTACTTTACATTATTCTCAGAGTAAGTTAAGGCTACACAATAATCAAATTAAAAAGTCAAAAATCTCTATGCAACTTAAAACACCAGCTAGAGCTGGTAATTAAAATATGAAATTATGGTTCCCTACTCAAACCCCATAAGCCAACCCTGATTTCATTTTGATATTGAGAAGGAAAACTTGGGAAGGAAAGGTCAATGTACCCTAACCTGCCTTGGACATTTGGAAGAAGGCTAAAATTTAAGTTTTCATTACAACTTTCCTTCTTACATTAAAGTTGTCACCTGTAACTTGTAGATCAGGGAACTGAATGTATATTACTACTCCTTTTTCAAGTAAGGAGGTATTCTGTTCAAGTAATCTGAACACAAAGCTAAAAAGGTCTCATTCACACTTGTGTAAATGGAATAAAAAGGAAATCATAATTAATTTCTCTCAACGTAATTTGAAGTAGAACACAGTTTTTCTTACACTCATCTAGCATTCCAACATAGTTAATGTTTAAAACTCTTTCAACTTCATAAAGGCTCACACTACTGTTAATTTTTATAGGTTTGCGTTTCCATGGTAACAAAATACAACTTAGTAAGCACTCTAACAATCCAAGCACAGTTGCAGTTTTCCTCATACATCAACCCTACGGACCAAACATTTCTCTCAATACTGCTACTCTCTCTTATTTTGAGAGATCCTTGTCTAGAATTGCCTTCAGACTTTCTAAAACCCTTATAATGCTTTGATTCACTTACGGTTTTTAATGATAAAATAAGCCAGAATAATTACATGCTTGCTTCATTTATGTGAAAGATTATAAACTCCTTGGGATCCCCTATAGTCTACAAAGCAGCAACATGGTCTTTAAGGTAGCATGGAAAATAAATCATGATTTTGTCATCTCTGGACAAAAACATTATGAAGAGACTGATCACCAACTCTTGGAGCCAAGTCCAGTGAATAATTCCTGGAGCCAAGTCTAGTTTATTTAATGTAGATTCTCCCTCAAAATACTAGGAATCACTATCAGTAAGGTTGGTCAAAAGTATATGTTAACTTGAAAGAGGAAAAATTCTTGAAATATAAAAGCCATTCTCAGAAAAAAAAGATCAAATGAAAGGATACAGTATAACTGACAGAATTTAATAAGCTATTACTTTGCCACATTAGCTAGCTGCCCAGTAACCTCAAAGATGTGACAAAAACTTAATTTGCAGTCAAAATTACTTATGCCCAAAAATCATTTCATACAAGTTTATTTGAGAAATGAATCTACAATTTAGTTCCTGTCAAGAAATTTAGCAAGGGTAATATATCAACTTTTTTTGCTCTAGACTTTAATAGACAATTCCAAAAGGAAGTTCCAAAAAGGTTCCATCTGAGTAATGGCAAAATTATTAGAACAAATGTGTAATTTCCTAAGGGGATTATTTCCGGAGGGGCAAAGCTCAGCTGGATACCTGTGTCCCTGCTATGTTGAAATACTTTGAATCTAGAATTCATACCTTTACCACAGTCCAAGAAATGTATTTAGAGAGTAAGATGGGTGTAACAGAAAACAAATCAGTAACACTTTTTCATTTTCATCATCCTACAGAGAATGGACTTATAATCATGAAGGCGAAAGTTAAAATAGCCTTAAAATTGGTCCCTAAACTGTAATTTATATTAAAGGTAATAAAAATATTTGAAAACAACCATGTTAAGTAATGTCTACAACCAAAAAAAATGGAAGCAAAGATTACTTCAATTATTGATCTAACTATACCCACGAGTCAATATTCACAAAAACGTAAGATTATTTTTAAAAAGAACTTATTTTTAAGCATCAGAATGATTTGTGTAATGAATAGCTTACAGTGTAAACATAAACAGTGTATACCTACAAGAGTCTGATGACCCTGAAGCTGAACATTTGTAACTCCCAAAAGGCATCAAATTATTGTGAAAGGTAGGGTTATCCTTTTAATTGAACATTTCAAATAGAGAAGTTCAAAGAATAAATCTTTGGGTCTGGTGAGCATAAAATCTGACGAGCCAAGTGAGTACTCCTCATCTCCTTGATCAGTATCTTATCCTGAGACAGTTTCCTTTGCCTTAGTCTTTGTGGATGACACCCACAAGGCACTGCTGGTATAAACACTGCAAGCTGCTGCTGGTACGCGGGACAACTCTTTTATTTCCAGTAATTAGCCTGGTGATGTTCTGTATTTTGTTGGCCTTTCTGGCCACAGTCATTCACTTGGTCAGTATCTTGCAGGAACTCTTCATGTGTTTGTTAGATCTCACCACTCTGTACTATATTACAGAGTTTGAAGTAATTCTCAGAGAAAGCACCATTTTCCCTAAACAAAGTAATTCTTAAGTGCCTGCTGTCATGTCAAAAAGCTGAAATCTGTATCACTATCAGCTTACATTTTCACAATTCAGAAGAGCTTGCTGTTTACCTTCTTGCAGACCATCTCCACTAAGGGTGCTAACCCCTGGGCAAAGTCCATTCAGAAGTGATAATCCCCAACTGTTATGTGAACTACCATACAGAGAGTTAACCACCCAAATACTTCTCTATCAATGGTGACCGTTTTTAATGTGTATAAATTATTTCCCAATTGACAGTGAAATCCAATGATCTCTCACTTCTTGCTTTAAAATCACTATAATTGTTCTAGAGTATTAAATTTCTCCTATATTTTACACTTTTCATTTGCTATTATATATTTAAGACCTATGATTTGAAGATGAAGATTTCCACGTAATCTAATGAGTTGACTTACTTTTGAAAGATGATGCTCAGAGGAGAATCCCAGCCCGTAAACAGTGTTTGCCCGGCTATCGGCCCACTGGCCAAACTTCTGAGATGTTTTAGTAAATGTCATGTTTGGGGTGATGGTGCTATTAATTATTGCCTAAAAAATAAAATAAATATGAGTTACAAGCCAAAAGTTAGCAAACAGGCATTTAAACACAGGACTATTTACTTCTGTAAAAAAACAAAGGATTTCTAATGAGTTTACTCAAGGGAAAAACAACCCCTAAATATATACTTTACTTTTTTTCCCACAAAGTGGTATAAATTCATGATACTGAGATTCACTATCATTTCTATTTAACACACAGTTTCTTACAAAATTAGTATTTTGGTGTTATTAAATATTGATTTTGGTGAACACCATAATAAATTCCAACTATTACTGTGTATCATATTAAGAGAAGTACCTTCTCACTGCCAGTACTATAAAAGTATATAATTAGTTAAGTTAGTGAGTTGATGCCCTCCAAAATTCAGATTACAAAGTGATTCCAGTAATAATAGAAATAAACATGTTACCAAATTCATAAGCAGTTTTTTGGTGAACTGCCAAACGTAGAATGAAAATCAAGCATTTTCAGAACAAAGCAAAATCTATTGAACACGTGAACAGTACAAATATAAATACTTATGAGTATGCATGTATTGATGAAGTTATAATAAATGTATGACACCTGTCCTACTAAAGAAGATAGTAAGAGTAGCTGGCCCCTTGCTTTCTGTCGCAAAAACAGATGTGTTATCTGTAGTTCTATGAGAGCCCTTACCCTTGATCAAGCATTTTTACCTGTGACAAAATTTAAATACTCATACTCAAACCTCCTTACCCTTCAGTTCAAAAGCTGCTTTTCCTAGCGTGTCATTTTAGATTCTGTAAAATGTGGCTAACAAAGTACTCTAAATTGCAGGTAGTCATGAAATGAAAAGACTCAACGGAAAAGGATATATTAACAAATGGTTAATAACAAAATATAACAAAAGGTAAGGAATCTGGTTATGGAATCATTTGGTTATGCAACTTTTTTTTGCTGAGTAGCTATTAAATGCCAAGCACAATTCTAGAGGGTTGAAATGCAACACTGAACGGTAATGTAACTGTGGATTACATTCTAAACCAAGAACAGTCAGTCAATTAACATATACGTAAGTAACTGACTAATGTAATTTCAGAGTGTTATGTGCTGCGAAGCCTGTAAGACCAGCATCTGATAGAGAGAGGGAGTCTAGAAGGCAAGGACTGGCAGGTACTAGGTTAGATTTGGTGGTCCTTGAGTGTTCCCGGAGGAGGGTGCTTGTGAGCTCAGATCTAAGTGTTTTCAAGGAGAGAAGGGCATTTTACATGGGATCTCAGTAACTCAAAAAGTGAGGTAGCAATAGGTTTTATAAGAAAACCTGTAAGAAAACATATAAGAAAAATGACCCAATTGCTGTAGGTCACAGACCTTCACTTTCAGCTCTTTCAAATGAACTTCTTGATGCTTTTAAGGTTAAGAGTCCCATTTTAATCCCCATTTTGAACCTTTCCTTGCCTCCACTTGTCTCGGGGATTACTTGCTTAGGGATTCTTTAATCACTGAAGAAAAACTTTAAAATGAAAGACGATCCCACACTTAAAAAACATTATTCATAGGATGCTTGGGTGGGTCAGTCAGTTAAGTGTCCAAGTCTGTTTTGGCTCAGGTCATGATCTCATGGTTCATGGGTTTGAGCCCTACATCAGGCTCTGTGCTGACAGCAGGGAGCCTCCTTGGGATTTTCTCCCTCCCCCCACTCTCTCTCTCTCTGCTCCATCCTGCCCCCCAAAAAAACTTAAAAAAATTATTCATTAGAATTCTTTGAATAGAATGGTTTGAATTTTTTGAAGATGAATCCACTTAAAAGGAAAATCTTAATTCTTTAAAATAAATTTTCTCTCAATCCCAGAGTTCCCATCCTTTCAAGGAAAACAGGTAGAAATGCTGTGTCATTACAGATCATGTAGTGCTCTTATCTTGGCCCTCGGCCATGCTGATGTCTCTGCAGCATGATTAGAAAGCCTTTAAGCAAACTTTACATGCACAGTAAGGGCATTAAATGAGAACAAATGGACATTTTCTAATCAGGGGCACCTAAGGGCTTTCCAACTCATCACGCAGTGCAGAAATAGAAGTGGGGCGGGGAGGAGAAAACACTCAGTTAGCCACAAGTAAGCCACTCTGCTTACACTATTGCTTACCAAAAACAACTCTGCCTGCAGGGAACTGCAGTAGTTACCAGCATCAGTTTTAAAAAAGTTAACTAGAAAATGGAACATGTGATAGAAATCATAACTGCTACAGAGGGTAGATTTTGTTAAAATAAATAAAAACTTGTTCACAAGAGCTATTTAAGAGTGTAATGTTTACAAGCTGCAAAGTATACTCAAGAATGGAGGCCAGAAGCAATAGTTCCTATCGCCTCAGAAGGAAGGACACATAAGAGTTACTTAATCACACGGGACATGGGAATACTTCAGTTGAACTTTATTCTATTTACGTCTCCCATCTGATAAAACTCCATCTTATCTGTGGTTTGGGCCAAGAGGGAAATACAGATTATAGAGAACTGAAAGTTCCAGTCAGGGAAAAGAAAGAAATTAATATTCTAGTGGCTGAGATCACAACAATTAATACCTGTTGATGTCACTAAATAGTTACAAAATATGACAAACTTATTCTTCATTAAAGAAGTTTTATAGAAATTAACTATTATTATTTCTCAAGTCCTTTAAATCCTCCAAGTAAAAATGAAAGAGAATCAATTATTCTAATAAATACGTACTAGTCACTTAAGTAGAAGATAAGGGGCAAATAGCCCCTGGGGTTCTGTAATCTAGTTAAGGAGATAAGCAGTGAGCACAAGAGAAAATGAACTGAAAGTTGAGCATTAAATTATCTTTTGTTTCCCCAAACCACTAGGCAATACCTAATAGCCTAAAAATATTAATAACGATAACAAGAGCAGTGTTTGTATAGTGGTTACTATACACCATTTACGTGTTTTTGCATAAATTACTTAATCTTCACATGAATCCCATGGTGTAATGATGTAGGTGTTTTTATTAGTTCCTTTTAACAGATGAGAAAATTAAGGTGTGAAGACATGAACTATCTTGCTCGATCTAGGTCACATGGCGAGGAAGCAGTAGAGCAAAAATTCAAACCAGGGAGTCTAGGTCTAGAGTGTGTGCTTAGACCCTGGGCTGACCTGCTAAAATTTCTGCAAGTTCAAAGGCCTCATGGCTTTAAAAAAAACGTGAAGGAGAAGAATGAAACCCTTGTCCTTCTATACACATTTTATCCAGAATCTGATGTTTGGTATTTCTTATTCAAAATTCATTGATAAAAAATGGAATTTTCCCCCCTTTGAAAGGCATACTATCTATAAGACAATGATCAAAGTGCTATGCAGATATTAACTCACTTAACCCTTACTAAGAATAATGAGGCTCAGAGAAGTAATTTGCCAGAAGTCAAAAACTTAGTAGATGGCACAGCTAAGATATGAACCCAGGCAGTCCATGCTCTTAAACATTATACTATTTGCCTCTCCTAAAAATAAAAACTTAGGTCTTGTCCACATGCTTCCCTTCAGAGTAAGGGATGTCAGCTTTAATGCTGACACTGACCAGACTTCATACCATTTAGGGACTTAGAATTACTGAATAATCTACAAAAGTGTATCTGAAAAGAATTCTAGCTCCTCACTAGACTGTAAGCTCCAACAGTGTAGAAACTGTCCATTCTGTTTACCACTATATTCCTAGCAACTAGCATAGTGCCTGACATGTAATAGATATGCAATGAATATATAATGTATCGAATAAACTAACCTAAAATTTGTAGAATATTTTGGAATGTAACTCAATATAAATAAGGTGGTCAATCCAAGTAATTTAGAAGATAAAAAGACAAAAAGTGTGCTAAAAATGATCAATTTTGGCTTTTTGAAGTTTTTAAAACTCAAAAGGAAATATTGTATCTTAATAAAGATGAAAATTCCCCAAATAAAACAGAAGATGCTCTACTATAAAAAGCAAAAGAGCAAGATCATTTAAAGAGAATATAACTTACCTTTGAGCCATCTAAACTGATTATCCTATACACATTTCTTGTGCTGTCATAGAAATAAGACACAGTAACTGCATGCTTGCTGGTGGGTACCCAGTTCTTCTTTGTGTTTGGGTCAATCTGGAAGACGTGAGCTCGAGTGCTGAAGATGGGTTGTTCCCTATCAGGCAGAAAATAAAATGACAGATTGAAAGCAGTCATTTTATTGCACTGGACAACAGAACATGAAATCTGTGAGGATGACTCCACTTACCCCAAAACTCCCACATCCCCCAAGACGATAGAAACATTGTTCCATATTTGAATACTGTAAGTATTCAATCATAAGCTTCTTTAAAACAATTATAGTCCATTCTCATTATGTGACGAATCTGTCTACTCACTAAAATGTATTTGTAACTCCAAAATCAGTACTTGAGGTATCTTCTTAGTCTTTTGTAGTGGAAAGATGCAATCGCCTGACATGCATGCTTCCATCTGAGGTTGATCAAGGCAACACTCTGCCTTATTTCAGCTCCCATACTATAAACAAGTGTCCTTTTTGTGATCTATTTGGCACCATGCATTTCATAATACTGTGCTTTTTGTTGGTGTTTTCACTGTGTAAAACAGCTCCCAAGCATAGTGCTGAAGCACGGTCTATTCTTGGATGCAAGAAGGCTGTGATGTGTCTTACGGAGAGAACGTTATAAGCTATGCTCAGGCATGAATTATAGTGCTGTTGGCCATGAGTTCAATGGTAATGGATCAATTGTCTATATTAAATGAGGGGTCTTTAAATACAAACACACATAAAACAAGCTTATGTATTGACTGGTTGATGAAAATGTGATCGGAGGCTTGTAGGAACCTAACTCTCTGTATCCCCTAGAAGCAATCTTTGAGTATTTGATAATTCAGTGTTCGTGATGCCTGTATAGAACACAACTACTCTAAATAATGAGAACTGACTATATTCTATTAAAATACAAGAATTTTATATAAGCACTAGGTTAAAAATGTTCACCTATTTAAAACTAGATTAATCCAGTAACAGGTAATAAACTTACTGAGAAAAGTTGACCTCTACTATATTAAAAAGTATACAGAAAACAAGGTAGCTCACAACTATAGTATCTTTTACTGAGTAGGGCCTTAAACAGATTTTAAAAATAATTTCAAGACCCCAAACTATTAAAAAATGTGTATCCGAAATATCATTAGCTTATTTTACAGTCTGGAAAACAAGCATGCTATGATATATATGCAACAGAAGCATGAGGATGCAAAATTTTCCAAGTTCTGAGTAGAAGTTCTTCTGGAAACAGCCTTTACCAGGCTTTTTTGCTTTGAGCCCAAATAAAGTTCATTTCTTTCAATTACACAACATCTTCCTTTCCTAAAGCTACATAAGGTCCTAAAGAGAATTTTAACCAGTAAAGAAAGGAGAGTATGGAAGAGAAGAAGTTAGAAAACAGGCAAGCCAAGTCTGGCCCATGGCAAGACGACTCTTCAGGTAACAGTAATAGGCTGGGTGTCACATATGTCTATGATCTTCTTCAGCCCTTGGAGAGCAGGTATGAAAGGGAGGCCCCTTCCCTGTAGGTAACTTGGCTCCACCCAGCTTTATTTCTGGAAACCTCCATAACAACTTTTCGTATTCTAAGAATCTGTTGTGAAGCAACTGATACATTTTATGCCACTCCCTAAAAACTGAAGCAGAGAGTCATCACTTCTGGCTTAACTCATATTATATATAGATTCACTCAACAAATAATTATTCACAACCTCCCAAGGCATTGTGCCTGGATGAAGAACTCTTCTGAATTCGAGAAAGGTCTAGTTCATTCCCTCTTTCCCTATCTTTAATCCTTCAATTTTTCAGTGAGGCTACACTTGGGTTATCTTCCAAAAAGCCCTACAAACCTTGAGGCTTTTTTTTCTCTTCACCTTTTAATTAAAGTTCTAGGTGTAGTGCAGTTGGTCAGCCTGACTGTAACTAACTAGTTCCAATCCACAGGAAAACCAAAACACACAAATGTATTTATTTAGGGCATGGAGGGAAGGGAAATAGGAACTCTAGGGTTATCTAACAAATTCTCCCCCATTTGACAAGCAGTAAATTTCTAAATAGTGCAGGGTGTTGCAATATATGTATTTTATAAGAAACAAAAATAGTTAAGACAATGATATTGCCTTTACACATCTCATATGACCAATCAACAAATCCCTATCAGCGGAAATCTAGTGTTTTGAGTCTCATAAATACATAAATACCAAGTACACTGCTTTTTTTCAATTCTCTTCTGAATAGGAGACTTCTTAAAATTACAGTTCAAGATTTCTGGTCAAAATCTTGTCAAACTCTAGATTAAAAATATTAGGAAAATAATTTCACTGCTGACACAGGGAACAGAGTTCCTAGAAGTAACAAGGAAGTTACTACATCTATCAAGGCATACTAATAAACAGTTCACACCTTTACTGAATATCTACAAGCCAAAAACAGATAAAGATGGTCCCTGCCCCTGAAAATGATGAGGGAGGACAGATGTCAAAAAAATAAAATGCTCTTCACCATGACAGATTCTTTGGAAATAAGTGACCGAGAGTTACCACGGAGAATGTGATGTCTTAGTAGAATTTGAAACAAAGTATGGTAACAGTGGGAACAGGCAATAGTACACAGGTAGGTGTATCAAGAACCTTAGTGAGTGTGAGTGCCTTTGAAGACTGAGGCTAAAGAGAGAAGCCAATTCATGTGGGTCCCCTCTGGAAACTACTCAGAGATTGTAAATAGAGAACAGCTCTACATTTTAGAAAGACACATTTGGCAGTACTGAAGGGGTGGATGGGAAGGAAACAAGACTGAACACAAGAAGGCTAGTCAGACTCTTACGAGAAAAACTCAAGTATTAGAAATAAAGACGAATGGGGTGCATGGGTGGCTTAGTCGGTTGAGCATCCGACTTCAGCTCAGGTCATGAAGTCATGGTTCGTGGGTTCAAACCCCGTTTGAACAGGCTCTGCGCTGACAGCTTGGAGCCTGGAGCCTGCTTCAGATTCTGTGTCTCCCTCACTCTCTTTGCCCCTCCCCTGTTTGTGCTCTCTTTCTCTCAAAAACAAATAAATAAAACCTGAAAGGAAGGAAGGAAGGAAGGAAGGAAGGAAGGAAGGAAGGAAGGAAGGAAGGGGAATGGAAGTTAGGGAATGGAATGAAGATTGAGGAGGGATTAAAGGTAAATTTAGAAAACAGAATCAGTAAAATTAAGCAACAGATTGGTTGCAGAGCAGTGTTTCTCAAACAGGGGTGATTTGTCCCAATTGGGACCTTTCACAATTTCTGGAGACATTTTTGGTTGTCACAACTGAGGAAGACTGCTATTGGCACCTAGGTGGTAGAAGCCAGGGGCATCGGTAATCATCTACAATGCACTGAACAGCCCCCTACAAGAAAGAACCAGACCAAAATGTCAATAGTGCCACTAGCCATGTTGGGAAACAGAAACTGAAGTCTGGGTTTGAGGAACAATGATATGGGAGAGGATGAGTGAAGTTTTGACCATGTTCACATGTGTATAAGGGTTTGCATATAAAACTGTCAGAATGGAAACTTAAAAATATTAGTTTGGAGCACAGTAGAGAAAACCACGGAGGAGAAAAAAGTTGGGGGAGTCATCAAGAGATCGTATCACACTAGTCTGTTTAAAATCCATTTCAATAACACTAAGCATGTGGATGAATTTCATTCTAGAGAAAAGCTTAGAAGCAGCTGAGAAAAGCCATACCTGAAATCTTAAAGCTCTTAATTTTTAAAAGGATCCATAAAGCATTTGAAACTAACTGGCCCAAGTGTCCAAGTGTTAAAGTTAATACTTTTTTAAGTAAACTGGATGGCATTCATCAATAAAGGTTAGACACACTACTTCCTTTCGAGCAATTCACAAAAATACTAACTGCATCAGATACAAATAGTTCCCAAAATACGTTCTATGGAACAACAGTCTTAGAAATGAGTGTTCCGTGTTTAAATAAATTCTGCAAACACTGTTCTGTCCCATTCTGAAATACTTATAATGTACATTAGTGTATTAAAGGTTCTAAAACATCCTGCAGTAAAGAAACCCATTTAGGCCTGAGTAACCCAGCATGTGGCAAAATTATCTGGCCCCAAAATTCTTTTCCATGTAACACGGTAACATGTCATAGGACTTATATTTATAACCAAAATATGAAAATCAAAAGATAAATTTTGAGGTAAAAGTATCTCACTGTAAGCTGCTCTGGATATTCTGCCATTTTTACTGACATTACTGTCAGTAGAAAACATATATAAAAAATACAATACAAAATGGAAGCTTTATTTAGTAACGACTAGAGTATTATTTCTTAAATGACGTTGAAAGAAACTCTTCTAAGGAATTAATCTGTCAATTTTAAAGCAAATAGAATTTGGCATGAAATGCTTTAAACTGCCTTAGAGAAATACAATTGAACCAGATACACACACCACACCCATACACACTTTAAAACTAGAAAATCATCTACTTTGGCATTTCTTCCATCAATTATCAGGACAACGAGTAGTTCAAATGACCTATTATAAGAAAAGCTTACTGGAATATTTTCCAGTTGGTTCATAAAATAATTCTATGAAGCTGGTACAAGAACAATTCTGAAGTTCTTCATCTTGGGCTAAAATGCAGTAAAAGTACTACATGCAATGATCAACTCCAAAACTTAATATGGATGTGAAAAACTGGAAGAATGGAAGTACAAGATGACCTGAGAAAAATGTGGTAAAATCAGAGTTTTGTTTTAAATTTTTTTTTTCAACGTTTATTTATTTTTGGGACAGAGAGAGACAGAGCGTGAACGGGGGAGGGGCAGAGAGAGAGGAAGACACAGAATCGGAAACAGGCTCCAGGCTCTGAGCCATCAGCCCAGAGCCCGACGCGGGGCTCGAACTCACGGACCGTGAGATCGTGACCTGGTTGAAGTCGGACGCTTAACCGACTGCGCCACCCAGGCGCCCCATCCCATGGTCTTATATCCAGTATTTAAAGCCAGGGCTGCATTCATCTGAAAACTTGATTTAGAGCTGAAAGAACCATGCCTCACAACATGGCCTTTGGCAAGAGTCTTCCTACCCCCAATATGTGAACCTCATAGTTGAGGGCT